GAAAGACGATTTCCCTTGCAGTGAATGAGTGACCTTTCTTAAAAAGTTTAGAACCTGTGCTGGAAAATCATTCATTCATTTTATCAAGTGATAAAAAAGTAGCTTCAACTTTGACTTGTTGCCAGCATCTCTGCTCCTCTCATTCAATTTTTGCATAATACATGAACTAACTATATTAGTTGATAAGAGCTGTTAGTGGTGTAAAATCAAACAACATACTTTGACAATTTCAGGATCTGGATATGAGAAAACTAATCCTGAGATATCTGAATCTTGTTGATTTTCCTCTGCACCCTTTTTTGGTGTCCTGGGTTCAGCAGTAGCAGTCATTTTTCTCCTTCTTGGTAGCTGGTGCAGTGCTGTGTTTTGACTTTCGGCCTGGGAACAGAACTGATAGCGATGTTTTGGTTTGGCCAAGGACTTTGTGAGCCTCATGCTCTGCCAGGGAGGAGGGGAAGCCAGGAGGAAGCAGAGACAGGACACCTGACCCAAACTGACCAAAGAGGTATTCCATACCACAGCACGTCATGCCCAGGATGCAACGGGGAGTTAGCCGGAAGGGCTGGGAGACTGCAGGGTTGGAGGAGGTATCGGTCGGTGCTTGGTTGGGCTGGGGGGGGCGAGTTATCAGTCAGCTGGTGGTGAGGTGATGTATTCTCTTCCCTTGTTATTTCCTTTATCATTGTTATTATTGGTAGTAGCAGCAGTGATTTGTGTTATACCTTAGTTACTAAACTGTTCTTATCTCAATCCGTGGGAGTTGCATTCTTTTTGACTCTCCTCTCCGCCCCTCCAGGAGTAGGGGGAGGGCAAGAAGGGGGCGGGGAAGTGAGTGAACGAGTCGTCTGGTTTGGTTTAAACCATGACAATTGGTCAATAGCAGTAAAAGAGATTAAAACAATTAGGAGTTTCCACAGCAAATGAAACTACTCTTCCATATGTCATTATAGCAGATGCATGCAAACTCTACAGTTTCTCCTTCTCCACCAACTTACTGAAACCCATCCAGATACACCCTTTGCAGTAGTTTGAACTTAAAGGAGGAAGGCAAAACAGGAAATACCAAAGTATAACCGCTAACCAAGGGCAGCCTTAGAAGAGCCATAGACAAAATTCCATTGTTCCCTTCCCCTTTCTTTACCCTTTCTACTCATTTTATCATACACAAGTACGCTGGTCCTCTCTTTCTTTAGTAAAAGATAAATCACTAGTTCTGTACCTCAGGGATGGATGCCATGGGTAATATTCTTCAAGACCTTCACTAATGAGCTGGATCACTGTATGGAGTGCATACTCAGCAAGTCTGTAGATGATAACAAAACTGGGAGGGGTGTTTAATACACTGAATGGTTGTGCTGCTATTTCGGGAGACCTTGACAGTCTGAAGAAATGGACAGATGGGAATGAAGTTCAAAAAAAGGCAGTGCAAAAGAATTCCTGCACTTGTGGAGGGATAACTCATGGTCTGGTAGAGGCTGGGTGTAATCAAGGTGGAAAGCAGATTTTCAAAGGAGCTGAAGCTCCTGGTAGACAAGATGTTGAACATGAGCCAGCAATGTGCTAAAGAAACTAATGTTCTCACAGAAGTGAAGGGGAAGGTCAACAGCATCCTCAGCTGCATTAGGATTACTGTTGCCAGCAGGTCAATGAAAGCAATTCTTTCTCTCTACTCAGCCCTGGTGACACACATGTGGGGAACTCTGGACTCCCCAGTACAAAGGAAGCTTACTAGAATTAGTTTGGTGAAGGGCAATGAGTATGATGAAAGGTTTAGAGCATATGTCCTATATAGAAAGCCTGGGTCAACTGGGATTGTTTAGAGAACAGTCTTAGGGTGGGGATCTTAGCTATCTGCATAAGAATCTGATGGAGAGGAGAAAAGAAGATGGAGCCAAACTCTTAGCGGTACAGTGACAGGATGAGAGACAATGGGTGCAAACTGAAATAAAGGAAATTCCCGTTAAACATAAGGAAAGATCTTATTGTGAAATTGGCTGAACACTCGCAAAACTGCCCCTGACAAGATGTCAGAACATGGCCTACCTCTGCACAGGCCTTGAATTGTTTTAAGTATTTCAGGATTTTCAAAGAAATGAGGCTTCTCCTTAGAATGTCTGATTCATTGATGTCAATGTGTCATCCTTCTGTGTCTAATAATCTCATCTAAATTAGAGTACTTTATACTGGCCTGACAATATTTTGGCATATATGTATTGGGGCAATTAATTTATTAATTTTCTTTATCTTTAGTTTGCAAGCTTTAAACAGATAATATATTTTTCTTACAATATGCTATATACCTCATTAGGCTCTTTCCCACAGAGGTGTGGACCAGATGATCTTTCAAGGTCCCTTCCAATCCGGCCTGTTCAATTCTATGATGCCACTTCCCCCTTCACCTTTTGAAAGCAGAAGCTGCTCCAGCAAACATTCTTTCCATTTCAACCCCCAAAACAGTATTTTTGAAGTGAAAATGAGAAACAAAGAACTTGACATAGCAACGTTCACTGCTGCCAAAAGATTGTAACGAAGGCAGCTTTCCATCTGAAACTAATTTTAATTAACACAGTTGAAACCATGGGTTTGAGATGTCTGAAATTCTTGAATGACCAATGCAATAACTGTAAGTACACACAGAACACCAAATTTAGTCCCTAATCTTCATAAGTCTTTATGCAACAAAAGGTATTATTGATGGGCTATTCACTTTGTTATGTAAGGATTTGTTATTATCATGGAGTATAGTGTAGCTCATAACACACATTCTTCAACTTTTCAACTATTTTGTGATATAATACGTTTTCCCAGTCAATAAGTCAACAAATAATTCCTGTAAGTTTCATTAAAAGTAGCTTAATAATAATTATGGCAAACTTTCTTTGGAAAAGTAATTTTCATACTAAATTTGGGGGGATTTAATTATCACCAGCAGTGAGAAGTTTACCTGGAGCAAGCTTATTCCTAGGCGTGGATTATATTTATATATTTATATATGGTGAGACAATATTCAAACTTAGATATCTAAAGGTGGAATTCCTAATCCATGCACTAAGGAAAAAAAGAAGAGCATGATGATTTTAAACTGTACTTGTTCTAAGCAGTGAACAGAACACATAAGTAGAAATACAGGTAGGGAGGTGGAGAGAAGAGGAATAGAAACCACAAGAAATTAAATTGTTGCTATTTCTGGGAAACCAGTATTATAGAACTGATGAATGCTGGTTAGGTAAAAGAAGCAGCTACTCAGGAGGACTTTCTGCATGGAACTCAGGAAAACACTGAGCTGAACCATTATGTTGCATTGAAGTTAATTAAAACAGCTAGGTATAAATAAAATAAAAGCAGCCCCAAAACACAGTGAGTGATTGTGACTCAAGCAGACAAAGAGCTCGCTAGATTACTCAATATCCAGAGATAATGATAATAGGTGCAGTAGCCTAGTTGTATGAAATAAAACAGCAGTAATATCAATGGTGTAATCTTACCTGAGTTTAGACAGCTGAAAACTGGGGAAGAAATAGAAATGTGGCAGAATAGAGCTCCTGTGGCTTTTTGATAAACATTTACAAGAAATGTAACTGTCTTGGTAGCCCAGACCTATGTTAGAGGGCAGTATGAAGAAACATTCCTAGGTAATACAAAACAATTGTCTATGCCACCATAATAACACATCTTTCACTCAAGATCTCAAGTCTTTTCCTAAATTATTCCTAGGAGGAGCCTAAGAATTGATACGGACAAAGGAACATAAAAAGAAAACATCTGCAAATAACTTTCCTATTTTGGAGGCTAAAAGAGATCAACAGTGTGGACAAAGTTATTCTGTGCCAGTTAGCCCCAGTGCTAGAGATGTTTAGTGTGTGGACACAATCTGTCTGATTTACAATAGTAGAGCCTGCAGCCCAAATCCCAGGTGTAGTTTGCTCATCGGTTTAGTGGGACCTCAAAATTGTTAGGCTGCAGTGGTCCAGAAAAAAAATCTAAAGAACTATTTTCTTTGATTATTTACAAGGGCTGTAAGTTATTTTTTGCTAAGATTAAGGTACAATGCACCTCTATTGTGCGTTCGAAAAAAAGGCTGTGCTTAGTTCAGTGAACTAGGTATTTCAAAACAGCAATGTTAATAGCAAAAAACATGGTGATTAAGCACGTTTAACATGGGACAGAGAGCTTGGCCCCTAAAGCGCTCCCTGAGAAACAGAACACTTTGCCTCATAAAGACACGTGACAAGTATAGAAGTGGAGGCTACATTGTACCGTAACTGTCAGCCAAATGTTTTGTTTGAGAAGCTACTAGGTAACCCATCCTGAGCAGAGCAGTGGGGCAGGCATTAATGGTAAAAGGCGTGATGCACGGCCAGTTGCTAACTTAAGTAAGGACTTCACAGTTAAAATTAGAACTGTCTTTTCTTTGAAACAAAGTGCACATTTGCACAGTGATGGCATTCAAGTAATGAATCCAGGAGAATCCATGCCATTTTATAAAATAAACTTTTTACATGGATAGCTTAACTCATCACTGACTGTAGGCACCTCAGGAAAGTCTGTAACAGCTACATAGCACAGTACTACATAAGCAGTTCTAGCTAAACAGCAGACAAAAGTAATATCTTTCTTAAATTGAAATTAAAGGGCAAGACTTATGAATGGAAAATTAAATTTCCCCAGTTGCACTTTGATAGTAGGTCTAGTCTAAATAAGCCTTGGTCAGAGTAAAACAGGAATCTGTCTTCCTGATACCATCTATTTCATGTATTAAGTATATTTTTCTGGAAAATGATACTTTAGATTTTATCAAAAAAGTGTAGATGAGACTCTAGTGACATAGTTTAGTGGTGGATTTGGCAGTCCTGGGGCAAAGGTTGGACTTGATAATCTCGAAGGTCTTTTGCAACCCAGTTGAGTCTAGGATTCTGTAACTAGGACTCAAGTCAAAATCTAATAAGGGTTTTTCACCTACATAAATATGAATTAACTAGATATTCTGTACTCCTGACAAATTCTGAATCTGCTGGTTCTGCATTTACTTATTTGCATTAGACAGGTAATTGCAAATACATTATTACCACAATCCAATCGTAGCAAGATACTATGCAGCATTTGGGAAAATATTTCACCTCCTTGTTTGCATCAACTGACTTGATAAAGTACCTCATATGCAGTCTTAGTATTTTATTGTAAGGTTATTAGCATGCTTGGTTACTAGGATATAGGATCTGAATATCTTCAACCGGAGAAAATATGTTCTAGGAAGTACTTTCCCTTCCTCTAAAGAAGCCTAATTTGATGTGGCACAAAGTTTCATGTGAGATATATGAAATTCTATTCACATAGGACATATAATTTTCCCCAAAGTTTCCTCTGGGGGCTGCGTCTTTGAATAGCTCTTTGTGGACCCACTAGAGCTGACTCTGTCATGTAGAGGCTCATGGAGCATTACTCAGATGATTCTGTCAGGCATTCAGCAAATTTCCTCTTGCTTCTTCTCTCTGAACGCATATCAAAACAACAATATTGTTCATATCTGGAAAAGACGGTAATAGATTTTACAAAAAAACTACTAGCCAAATTGGGTATCAGCAAAGGAGTGAGATGAAGGGATCTGAGATTATCACAGTGGCCCAGAAGCTCTCTGATACGCAACCACTCCTACAAGGCTGAGAAGGCCAAGTCTAAACACATTGCTAAAACAAGGACATCTACTGCCCCTGAGAAAACAGTTGACAATTCAGGGCAGCAAACACAACCAGGAAACAAGAGCCATCTTCCTCTGTGTACTAGTAGGTCTCAAAAAAATCCAGTGCTGACCACTTGGGTAGTACCATATTTAAATAGCAGGCATTTGATTGAATTTTCAATGACAATAGCACCAAACACTTATAGAATCATATAATCGTAGAATAGTTAGGGTTGGAAAGGACCTTAAGATCATCTAGTTCCAAACCCCCTGCCATGGGCAGGGACACCTCACACTAAATCACGTCACCCAAGGCTTCATCCAACCTGGTCTTGAACACTGCCAGGGATGGAGCATTCACAACCTCCCTGGGCAACCCATTCCAGTGCCTCATCATTCTAACAGTAAAGAATTTCTTCCTTACATACAATCTAAACTTCCCCTGTTTTAAGTTTGAACCCGTTACCCCTTGTCCTGTCAGTAAAGTTCCTAATGAAGAGCCCCTCCCCAGCATCCCTATAGGCCCTCTGCTGGTCACGCTCCTCTTGATGCAGCCCAGGATACACTTGGCTTTCTGGGTTATGAGCACACAGTGAAGCCGGCTCATGTTCATTTTCTCATCAACCAACACCCCCAAGTCCTTCTCTGCAGGGTTGCTCTGAATCTCTTCTCTGCCCAACCTGTAGCTGTGCCTGGGATTGCTCCGACCCAGGTGTAAGACCTTCTTATGGTTAAACTTCATGAGGTTGGCATCAGCCCACCTCACAAGCGTGTCAAAGTCCCTCTGGATGGCATTACTTCCCTTCAGCCTATCAACTGAACCACACAGTTTGGTGTCATCAGCAAACTTGCTGAGGGCGCACTCAATCCCACTGTCCATGTCACCAACAAAGATGTTAAACAAGACCGGTCCCAGCACTGATCCCTGAGGGAAACCACTAATTACTGGTCTCCAGCCGGACACTGAGCCATTGACCACAACACTTTGTGTGCAGCCATCTAACCAGTTCTTTATCCACCGAGTGGTCCACCTATCAAATTGATGTCTCTCCAATTTAGAGACAAGGGTGTCGTGTGGTACAGTGTTGAACGCTTCGCACAAGTCCAGGTAGATGACATCAACTGCTCTATAGCTGTCCATGCATTCCGTAGCCCCATCATAGAAGGCCACCAAATTGGTCAGGTGGGATTTCCCCTTAGTAAAGCCATGCTGGCTGTCACCAAGCACCTTGCTGTTTTTCATGTGCCTTAGCATGCCCTCCAGGAGAATCTGCTCCAAGATTTTGCCAAGATTTTTCACCTCTCACAGACGTGAGACTGACTGGTCTGTAATTCCCTGCGTCATCCATTATCCCCTTCTTGAAAATGGGGGTTATATTTCCCTTTTTCCAGTCATCGGGAACTTCACCTGACTGCCATGGTCTTTCAAATATGATGGCCAGTGTCTTAGCAACTTCATTTGCCAGCTCCTTCAGGACCCGCAGATGGATTTCATCAGGTCCCATGGACTTGTGTACATTCAGGTTTTTAAGATGGTCTTGAACCAGCTCCTCTCCTACAGTGGGCCCAAGGTCTTCATTCTCACAGTCCCTGCGTCTGCCTTCAAAGACTTGGGTGGTTTGGTCAGAGCCTTTGCCAGTGAAGACTGAGGCAAAGAAGTCATTCAGAACCTCAGCCTTCTCCAAATCCAGGGTAGCCAGGTAACCCCCAATAGCTTCCTGAGGGGCCTGCGTTGTCCCTAGTCTGTTTTTTATTTTCTACATACCTGTAGAATCCCTTTCTGTTTTCCTTAACATCCCTAGCCAAGTTTAATTCTAACTGAGCCTTAGCTTTCCTAACCTGGTCCCTAGCTTCTCGGACAACATCCCTGTACTCTTCCCAGGCCGCCTGTCCTTGCTTCCACTTATTATAAGCCTCTTTTTTCAACTGAATTTTCCTCAGGAGCTCCTTATCCATCCAAGCAGGTCTCTTGGCCCTCCTGCTGCACCTCCTTCTAGATGGGATGCAACACTCCTGAGCTTGCAGCAGGTGATAATTGAATATCAACCAACAGTCTTGGGGCCCCCCTGCCCTCTAGGGCTATGTCCCATGGAACCTTACTAAGCAGGCTCCTGAAGAGGGCAAAGTCTGCTCTCTTGAAGTCCAGTGCAGTGAGCTTGCTGCACGCTCCTCTCACTGGCCTGAGGATCTCGACTTCGACCATCTCATGATCGCTGCATCCAAGTCTGCCCTGGAGCGTCACATTTCCAACGAGCCCTTCCCTTTTGGTGAGCATGAGGTCAAGCATTGCACCTCTCCTTGTCGGCTCCTCTGTTACTTGCAGAAGGAAGTTGTCTTCTATACAACTGAGGAACCTCCTGGATTGCTTGTGCCGGGCCGTACCGTCATTCCAAGAGATGTCAGGGTGGTTGAAGTCACGCATGAGAACAAGGGCCTGCGAGCATGAGGCTTTTCCTATCTGTCTATGGAGTGCTTCATCCGCAGGTTCTCCTTGATCAGGTGGTCTGTAACAGATTCCCACAGTAATGTCTCCCATAGCTGTATTCCCTTTAACCCTGACCCACAAACTCTCTGTGGACTGCTCACCTGTCCCCAGACACAGTTCCATACTCTCCAGCCTATCATAAAGGGCAACTCCCCCTCCCCGCCTGCCAGGCCTGTCTTTCCTAAAGAGCCTGTAACCTTCCATCCCAACACTCCAGTCATAGGAGCCATCCCACCATGTTTCTGCGATGCCTATTATATCATACCCCCGTAGACGTGCACACATCTCTAATTCCTCTTCTTTGTTCCCCATGCTACAGGCATTTGTATAGAGGCATCTGATCCAAGTTCCATCTGAAGCCGGCTCATTGGCTGGAGCAGCTGGGATCTCTCTACATTGCTCCAAGCATTTATTATAGGTTCTGGCAACTGACTGGGTGTGTTGGAATGGAATGATGCTCCCCTCCCCCAACACATCTGGTTTAAAGCCTCCTTGACCAGTCTGGCAAGCCTCCTAACAAAACTGCTCTTTCCCTTCGCAGCAGCTCCACCAGCCCCCACTAGACCTGGCCTACAAGCTTGGGTCCCATGTTCAAGACACCCAAACCCCTGACTATGACACCACCCTTTTAACCAGTTATTAACCTGGCCAATCCTCCTAGCTCTTTTTAGGTACTCCCCTGTACCCTGGAGAATTGATGAAAAGACCACCTGAGCTCCAGAGCCCCTAACCACCTCTCCCAGGGCTCTGTAGTTCTTCTTTATGTTCCCCAGGGTACTACTATCTATATCCCTAGCACCCACATGTATCACCAGGAGTGGGTAATAGTCCGTGGGACTTACTAGAGCAGGCAGCCTCTCTGCCACATCCCTGATCCGGGCCCCTGGTAGGCAACACACCTCCCTTGAGACGGGGTCTGGCCAGCAGACGAGTGCTTCTTTCCTTTTCAGTGTACAGTCCCCTACTACTATGACCCACCGCTTTTTCCTAGCAGCACCAGTAGAGATCTTCTTTAGCAGTGCATCAGCCGGCTGTTTCTGCCTCGAGTGCTCTTCCTCATTAGCCCCCCGCAGGACCCCAAAGTGGCTCTGCGTGGAGACAGGGGATTTAGGGGGAAGCCCCTTGCATTTCACTGTCCTTTTCCTTCTTTTTGTTGTTTTTTTGTTTGGTTGGTTTGGGTTTTTTTTGTCAGTACTTCCCAGCTTCCCAGGTTAACGGCCTCCTTCTTTCCTTCATGAGCTAGAGGGGAAGCTTGAAGCCCCTACACAGTTTGGGCCTGGAGCAAGCATTCCTGCTTCCTCTCAGTTTCCCTGACATCTCGCAGTCTATTAACAGCATCCCGCAGCTCAGCCCGTGCAGCAGGACCTCCCCCAGGGAGCACCAAATGCAGCCCTGCCCATTGTGCACCCTCCCCTCACCAGACCAGTGCAGGCACTCTCTACACCCCGAGCTCTGCACTGCAGCCTCCCCTCTCATCGGCTCTGTCTGGGTGCCTACGCTGCCGCCTCCGGGGCAGCCCGAGCAGAGCTCCCGGACCGGGCCCCGGTCACAGGGCGAGCGCGCACCTCCCAGCACCAACTGCCGCACCGCGCTCCTGGTCCCTCCCGCTCCCTGGGCAGGTTTTTACCCAGTCAGGGCTGGTGCCGCTCCTCCTGGCTCCGCCCCCTGTGAGTCAGCTGCTCGTTCTCGTCAGCTGAGCTGCCGGCTCCTGGTCAGGAGCTGTCGAGGGCTCGAGGCTCCCTCGGTGGCTGTTGCTGCTCTGAGCTGAGGCTCCTGGATGCTGAGCTTCCCCCTGCTCCGGTGTTGAAGGCGTCCGCTCTTGAGCTACTCACCTCAGCAACTGACACTTCTGAAAACTGGCCTCCTCTAATGTCACGCAACTGTTTGAAATACTTAAGTTTGCATTCAGATCAGCAAAGCAACCTCATCCAAATTGCCCTGAAAACATCAGTATTTCTATATGATAAGTACACTAGACTAGATGAGAATTTAGCAATTTTCTCCATGAATCCACCCTTTCGGTCTTCCTTCTTTAACACAAAATTATAATACACATATGCTAATCTCTTTAAGCAGCTCCTTCTAGCTGCTAGATTGCCACTCTTAGCCTGTGGTCTACTATATTAGTTAAGGCAAGTTTTAGAAATTTTGAAGATAGATAGTTCATTTACAACCAGACAACCATTTCTGTTCATTCTAGGATTTGATATAGTGCTAGTCCATAGCTACTGTGTTCTTCAAGCACTACTATGTCTCAAGTAACATGCTTAGCCATACCTGGGAGCTCTGAAATGCTGCTCTAAACTTAATAGACATGTTAATATTCCTCAGCTTCCTCCTTCTCTCTCTTTTTCAAACTCAAAAATCACAATATATTCTGCAGGGAAAAAAAGGCCCCAAAGGTGCATATCCCACAAATTCTGTGTAAAATATAATTTTATCCAACCTTCTAACAATACAAGATTCATTTTACTTTTCTTAGTAGGAATGCAAGTAGAAATTGTTAGTCCTCAGAATCATAATATCATAGAATGGTATTAAGTATCATCTTTAGTATCATCTAGTTCCAACTAGGCTTTAAGTATCATCTAGTTCCAATCCCCCTGACGTGGGCAGGGACACCTCACACTAGACCAGGTTGCTCCAAGCCCTGTCCAACCTGACCTTAAACACTGCCAGGGATGCAGCATTCACAACTTCCTTGAGCAACCTGTGCCAGTGTCTCACCACCGTCACAGTAAAGAATTTCTTCCTTATATTTGACCTAAATTTCTCCTGTTTACTTTTGAGCAATCTTGGAGCAACATGCTATTATCAAAGTGAAAACTCAGCTTTCCCCATAAACAAATTTTCTCCTCTCAGAAACACTTTGATTCACAATTCTATCAATCAAAATAAACATTAATGCTCAAATTAAATACTCAAATACAAGCCCTATGATTGACAAGAGGGAAGGTAAGAGAAAGTATCCCATATAACGAAACAAACAAAAAAAAATGTAATAATGACAGTCACTGTTTTGTTGGTCCACTATCTATCATTATAATCCATCATCAATATCTGAATACTTTTACCAGACTGATTTTCAATTTCTATTCTGTATCTTTTAATGCAGCCTACTTCGTTATAATCCCCTTGACAGCACAGAAGTAAGAGATGATCTTTTTAGCTACCAGAAATGAAAGACATTTCAGCAGAAGAAAGCCTCTTTAAACAATATATTTCTTCAGGGAAATTCGTCGAGGACAGGAGCAGTAGCAAAGTAATTGTTCAGGAGTTGAGAAATGAAATATAGAGTGTAAAGTACAGCTTTGCTAAAATCCATGTGGAAGACTGAAATGCCACACCGTGTGGCAGACTTCTAATAAGGCACCAGGACAATCACAAATGGGAAATCTGTCAGTTCGATCACAAGTTCAGGCTAAATTTCTGAAGCTCCTTGAATTTTGTTGAAGATTGGAAATTGAAAATTAATCTGAACATTTCCATTTGGATGATGAAATTTTGAGTCTCCTCATTGCTACAAACATAATAAAGCTTATTAAAAGTATCTCAAGTATGTATGCACCTATAGGGGGTCACCTACAGTTTGCATTTTGGAGTTTAAGCATTTCTGCAGCAGATGCTACTACTTTTCCTCAGTAAAATAAAAACATGTTCAAGAGTGACTTGGTTTAGTCTAGATCAGCACTTTCAACACATTAAGTCTATCTGGAGCTGAATCATGGTTTTGAGGGGTTATGTTGTTTACACGGTATCCTGAAATACCTTTAAAGTATAAATTGCAATGTGGAAAAGACACCATTTCCAGCTAATGAAAACTAGTTTTATGAGTCAGGCATGACACTGATTAATTACAGTTTAAAATTAACATTGGATTTTTGTTTCAAGGTTTCATACTTCTATACCAGTTACAACATCTAGCAGTTATTCCTGATAAAGCACGGCTTCCTATTTTTATAAGTGAAATCCAAGAATCACATGATTCCATATCTGAAATTAAAATAAACTGTGGGGTATTTAAACTATAGAACATGTTAGAAGACTGAGAGATGAAGAAAATGGACTGGTTTACATGATAGGTGTATAAACATTTGAAAAATTCTTTTCTCTGTAAGAATTACCTGGGAGAAATCCCATGGGCAAGGCTGTTTGAAGGTAAAGGGGCCCAAGATAGTTGGTTGACATTCAAAGATTGCTTTTTCCGAGCTCAAGATCGGAGCATCCCGACGCGTAGGAAGTCAAGGAAGAGGACCAGGAGACCTGCGTGGCTAAATAGGGAATTGCTGGGTATGCTCAAGTGGAAGAGGAGAGTTTACAGGTCATGGAAGGAGGGGCTGGCCACTTGAGAGGAATATGAGGCTGCTGCTAGAGGATGTAGGAAGGCAGCTAGGATGACTAAGGAAGGCCTCCTTAGAATTAAACCTGGCGAGAAGGGTCAAGGACAGCAAAAAGAGCTTTTTCAAATACATGGCAGATAAAACTAACACCAGAGGCAATGTAGGCCCACTGATGAACGGGATGGGTGCCCTGGTGACAGAAGATACAGAGATGGCAGAGTTACTGAATGCGTTCTTTGTCTCTGTCTACTCTGCTGCAGGCAGTCCTGAAGAGCCCTGTACCCCTGAGACCTCAGATGAAGTCAGGTCAACAGAGCGGTTTGCCTTAGTCGATGAGGAATGGGTTAGAGATCAGTTGAGCAATCTGGACATCCATAAATCCATGGGTCCAGATGGGATGCACCCGCGGGTGCTGAGGGAACTGGCAGAAGTCATTGCTAGACCACTCTCCATCATCTTTGCCAAGTCTTGGGAAACGGGAGAGGTGCCTGAGGACTGGAGGAAGGCAAATGTCACTCCAGTCTTCAAAAAGGGCAAGAAGGAGGACCCGGGTAACTATAGACCGGTCAGCCTCACCTCCATCCCTGGGAAAGTGATGGAACACCTTATCCTTGGTGCCATCTTAAGGCATATCAAGGATAAGAGGGTTATGAGGGGCAGTCAACATGGCTTCACCAAGGGGAAATCATGCTTGACCAATCTCTTAGCCTTTTATGAGGAAATAACATGGTGGATGGATGATGGCAGAGCGGTGGATGTGGTCTACCTTGACTTCAGCAACGCATTTGACACAGTCTCCCACAGCATCCTCACAGCTAAAGTGAGGAAGTGTGGTCTGGATGATCAGGTAGTGAGGTGGACTGGCTGAAGGAGAGAAGCCAGAGAGTTGTAGTCTATGGGGCGGAGTCTAGTTGGAGGCCTGTAACTAGTGGAGTGCCTCAAGGGTCAGTACTGGGACCAGTATTATTTAATATATTCATCAATGATTTAGATGAGGGAATTGAGTGTACTATCAGCAAGTCTGCTGATGACACTAAGCTGGGAGGAGTGGCTGACACGCCAGAAGGCTGTGCTGCCATCCAGCGAGACCTGGACAGGCGGGAGAGTTGGGCAGGGAATAACTTGATGAACTATAACAAGGAAAAGTGTAGAGTCCTGCATCTGGGCAGGAACAACCCCAGGTTCCAGTATAGGTTGGGGAACGACCTGTTAGAGAGCAGTGTAGGGGAGAGGGACCTGGGGGTCCTAGTGGACGACAGGATGACCATGAGCCAACACTGTGCCCTTGTGGCCAAGAAGGCCAATGGCATCCTGGGGTGTATTAGAAGGGGGGTGGTTAGTAGGTCGAGAGAGGTTCTCCTTCCCCTCTACTCTGCCCTGATGAGACCTCATCTGGAATATTGTGTCCAGTTCTGGGCCCCTCAGTTCAAGAAGGACAGGGACCTGCTGGAGAGAGTCCAGCGCAGGGCAACTAAGATGATTAAGGGGGTGGAGCATCTCCCTTATGAGGAAAGACTGAGGGAGCTGGGTCTCTATAGTTTGGAGAAGAGGAGACTGAGGGGTGACCTTATTAGTGTATATAAATATATAAAGGGAGAGTGTCACGAGGATGGAGCCAGGCTCTACTCAGTGGCAAACAATGATAGGACAAGGGGTAATGGGTACAAACTGGAACACAAGAGGTTCCACTTAAACTTGAGAAGAAACTTCTTCTCCGTGAGGGTGACGGAACACTGGAACAGGCTGCCCAGGGAGGTTGTGGAGTCTCCTTCCCTGGAGGCATTCAAAACCCGCCTGGACACATTCCTGTGTAACCTTATCTAGGTGTTCCTGCTCCGGCAGGAGGATTGGACTAGATGATCTTTTGAGGTCCCTTCCAATCTCTAGCATACTGTGATACCGTGATACCTGAAGAATGTTGATCCTTAGTTGTTGCCATTTACATGGTGAGTAAGTATGGTGTTCTTTGTTGGCAGAAACAATCCATCAGTCAGTGAGAGACACTACATTTCAGCAAAGAAAATAGCCCACATTATTACCTGCAACTGTCATACTACCTGGTAGAGTGAGTTGTCATGTCCCAGTAGCAATATGTTAATGACACCTGCCCTGAAACAGAATTTTCATTTTTTCAGAGCTGATGGCTATACTTGGGTAACGGACAAGGTTAGGGTTCCATGGGGAACTTGGTGAGTTACAGCCCCTACAGATATCTGTTAGTTCTTCATATTCTCTTTTAAGGGAAAAACAGTTCAGGCTGTATATCAGGCTATAGAACACTAAACTTATTATGTCCTACGATGAAACACGCACCCTAAAACAATCAGTATTTCTTCAGGCATCCAAGCCAGCAAACATTATTTTGAAACTACTTGCTGATCAACTTCTTCATATCAGAGAGTGAGGATATTATGCCTAAATCACAAGTAATCTTTCCTACCTGTAATGCATTATAATACTGTACACAATTTAATTTTTATTCTTACTTTTGCTAAAGATTATAAAACACCAGTTAGAATAAGGCTAAAAAGGCAATTCTAAGAAGTAGCTTACATTCTCTGTCATTAGAAACAAGACAGATATTTATGGTTTGGAAGGCATTAGCTAGCATGATATAAAGCTGTAAAATCTCTCAGTCCTACCTTGAAGGGTCTGAAAAAGAGACTTATTTTCAAGTGAGTCAAATTTAACAATGTACAACAAACATACTTTGCGAAAAGATGGCTAAATAAAGCTTAACAGGCATTTGAATTTCTGCAAATCGATTTGGCATCTAGAGTCTGAATTTTCTATTTTGTCTTCCCTACACCTTCTTGAAGCAATTTTAGGAGAAAAAAGCAGAGAAGCAGTATTGACAACATATTAGAAAAATGTTGGTTACAGATGGTATAAAGAACACTACCTCATTGAAAATCCATGAAGACTCAAAGCAACAGACAAAAAGAATGGGATACAAAAATAGTTCTAGAAGCATTCAAGCTTAGTAACTTTATTTCCAGAGTTAATCAAATAATACACTTGAAATTTAAAGGTTAAGATTGCTAACAGGTCATGTTCTTAGCAATGCTGACCCAATGTTAAGTATTTTTTGCTCCAACCTGTATCAGAGTCAATAGCTTTAACAGGGTGTTATTATATCCCCTACATTTAATACCATTCTGAGGAGGCAAGTTTTACTGGAACACAAAATCTAGCCTACAAGTGTCCAGACCAACCATCTCCGAGTGAAAAAGCGATCTCCTCACAAACATACTTGTCCTGGGTTCAGTCATTTTTCTCCTTCTTAGTAGCTGGTGCAGTGCTGTGGTTTTGACTTGTGGCCTGAGAACAGCTGTCGTGGTTTAAACCCAGTCAGGTAACTCGTTCACTCACTTCCCCCCCCTTTCTTGCCCTCCCCCTGCTCTCGGAGGGACGGAGAGGAGAATCGAAAAGAATGCAACTCCCACGGGTTGAGATAAGAACAGTTTAGTAACTAAGGTATAACACAGATCACTACTGCTACCACCAATGATAATAATGATAAAGGAAATAACAAGGGAAGAGAATACATCATCTCACCACCAGCCGACCGATAACTCGCCCCCCCCAGCCCGACCAAGCTCTGACCGATACCTCCTCCAACCCTGCAGTCTCCCAGCCCTTCCGGCTAACTCCCAGTTACATCCTGGGCATGACGTGCTGTGTTATGGAATACCTCTTTGGTCAGTTTGGGTCAGGTGTCCTGTCTCTGCTTCCTCCTGGCTCCCCCTCCTCCCTGGCAGAGCATGAGGCTCACAAAGTCCTTGGCCAAACCAAAACATCGCTTGTTATCAGCTCTGTTCCCAAGCTGAAAGTCAAAACACTGCACTACACCAGCTACCAAGAAGGGGAAAAATGACTGCTACTGCTGAACCCAGGACAACAGCGCTGATAACACCGATGTTTTTAGTTGTTGTTAAGTCATGTTTACTCTGACCAAGGACTTTGTGAGTCTCATGCTCTACCAGGGAGGAGGGGAAGCCCGAGGAAGCAGAGACAGGACACCTGACCCAAACTGACCAAAGAGGTATTCCATACCACAGCACATCATGCCCAGGATGTAAACTGGGGGCAGTTACCTGGAAGGGTTAGATCACTGCTCGGTCGGGCTGGGTATTGGTCAGCAGGTGGTGAGCGGTTGTATTCTCTTCCCTTGTTATTTCCCTTATTGTTATTATTATTGGTGGTAGCAGTAGTGGTTTGTGTTATACCTTAGTTACTGGACTGTTCTTATCTCAACCCATGGGAGTTACATTCTTTCAATTCTCCTCCCCATCCCTCTGGGAGCAGGGAAAGCTGAAAATGGCTGATGTGCAAATAGCAGGCCATGTGTGGAGAATGGTAAACATGGTGGGAGAAAAGATCAGTGCACACATGAAAGGAAACCTGCTATATATTACCTGAATTTGCAGTACACCCCTTCTCTCAAGGTTATCTCACCTCTCCTCTCCCCATAGTTGATTACACTTGACAGAGTGATGAGTACTGCAGCCAGATGAGACATTGATTTGCTGAACAATCCCAGTGGATTTAGAAAGACAGAATAATCCCTCAGACAAGATACAGCTTAGGTCTTCAAGATACGAGCTGAGCATTTTTTGTTTTTTCTTTAAAAATGAAGGTTCAGAGCATCTGAGGTTATCTGTAGACTGAGGCCAAATTCAGCAAATAGCTTTAGCCAGATCTTCCATTTTAAAGGGATGACTTCTTGTTTGTCCAAAGTTCCTGCTGCACCAATGTAAACAATTTGTAGGATTATTCCTTTCTTCTGCTCCTAATGAGCCACTGCAGTCAACAACAGAATGACTTTCCCCAAGGCTGTTGAAGAGACATACACAGGGCAAACTACAGGGCAAACACAAGGCAATCACACTCCATAGTAGTTTGTCTGAGAGAAAGCTATTGTCTTTCACTTAAGAGTAATGCTTTATTTTGCATTGAATAGTTTTCTGGCTTCTAACTTTGGTTATCTTGTATCTAGATTTGAGGTGATGAGAGTATTTGTGACAATAGGGATTTAAAACATGACACTGAAAGAAGGTGAAACTGTAAGAAGGTGGCACTAATGGGTGCTAAGCTTTCCAAACCTTCTATTTCATCGTTCAAGTGTTGTTACTGTTTTCGCATGTATTATTTGAGATCGGTTGAAGATGCACTCTTTCTTCATAGGCACTTAGACAATACTTGGAAGTTACACAACAGTGTTTCTGTGGCAATCCCTGTTATTAATTCAAGTTGAGCTGAAATGTGTTGGAGGAGTTCTTATTTTGTTGGGTGGGATAAGAATTGTGTCATGTCCACATGAAACTACGAACAAATTAAGATATACAGCCATTGACCATCTGAACAATGGTATCAGTCTTTTACCTTTTGGAGTACCAACATTTAGAAATAAGTGCTTCACTGCATTCATTCTCTCATCCTTCTTCGACCTGCTCCCCTCACAGTGAATGAGTTTTAAAATACCCAGTTCATACCCCATAAAAGGGCAAGACCAAGGACACCAGCCATGTTACTGCAGAAATTCCAAGTTGATCCTTCTTTTCCTGCTGAAGGTATTGTTAGCAATTATTTTCCCTGAGAAGGGGGAGGTGGAAGAAAAGGAAAAAAGAAGAAAAAGAATGAGTGGTGAGATAGCAGCGTTCTGCATGATATACTTAGAATCAATCATATTACTGTTTTCTCAGCCAGGCTAGTCATCGTAAATTCTGTATCTTTCCCCAAGCTCAGTGGCTGTGCCAGCCATTCATTCTGAAATACTTCATATATCCTGTACAGGAATTCATAATAGGATTATGGATTCCAGAGGAAACTCTCCTCAAGGAGGAGCACGGAGTGAATGGAGACTTCTTTGGTACAGCACCGCATAACATGCAAAAGGAAAAGTAACCCAAGAAGATGGAGAAATGGAAAAGTATGTAGAAAATACAAGTTTATTTCTAGTTCATGTTGGGAATTTTCTTCAATGAGGAGTCTCCCTGAGCCGTATTACTTTCATTTGAAACTGGGACTGGAATTTTGTTGGGCCAGTTTGGAAGTGACCACTAACACCTGGAAATAACACTTTTATGCCTGGAAGACACAAAAGAAAAAAGGGTATACACACCAGGCTGGGCCATATTTTGTCTCTCTAACCTCCCAGCTCTAAGTATGGCAGTGGCAAAAGCAAAATCTGCAAATGAAAATATGTGTTTCCTCTCCTTTCATGTCAGAGCACAGGAAAAAAAAAATGCCATTTCTCATAAGAAATGCAATGTTCTTCCTCCCTTCCCCATACATGCCTTGGAGGTCCTGACACATAATTACTTACCATCTGTATTTGGCTTGAACTCAGCAATCTGTTCCTAATGTATAATGAAGCCTCAGCGGAAAGAATTTGCTACCCAAAAGATCTTATCATGCAAAAACCAGCTATAGAATTATGCAGTGGCCTTGGTGATCTGGAAAAATAAATAAATAGAATAAAGAGCAGCCAAACATTTTCCATGCCACCAGTGGTTAAAGCAAATGGGAACACAATCAGGGATGCAATTACTAGGTCCCATGGCTACATGAGAACCAATCTACTACTGAAGCTACCATGCACTGTAAGTTAGAAACTTTTGCTCTATGTCTGTATCTTGCAGCTATTAGAAACAATGAGTGCTGAAGTTCAGTGTCAGCCTAGAGGCATTTAAAGAATCAAGGTCTGTTGTTTTTTCTCTGGAGTAAGGGAGGTGCTGCAGTTGAGTTTGCCCCTAGGTTGCTGGGAAGATCTGCCTCGAACACCCAAGTCTGGGGCATTGTTCAATGTTCAAAATTCAGTGGGACCAATAAACCCAAATCTCCTGACAGCTCATGAGGACCAACTGTAAGGGGAAGCTCCTGAGCATGCCCACTATTTTCTGGGATGCAGGTAGAAATTCAACTGCATCAGTGCGATAACTTAACACAATGAATTATCATTCCCTTTTCCCAACACCTTTTTTTTTTTTTTAAGTCAA